TCCTCTCCTCTCCTCTCCTCTCCTCTCCTCCTCCTCCTCCTCTCCCTCATCCTCCTCCTCCCTCCTCTCCTCCTCCTCCTCCTCCTCCTCCTCCTCCTCCTCCTCCTCCTCCTCCTCCTCCTCCTCGTCCTCCTCGTCCTCCTCCTCCCCCCTCTCCCCCGGAGCGATTTCTGATGGCCCTGGGGCCCGAAAGCGGCCTCCACGCGCCGAAAACGACGAACGTCCCTGGAAGATCGAAATTCGGCGCCATGCGGACTCCGCCACTGGGCCGACATGCGAAGTTCCGCCACTTGGACCTCAGGTGAAATTCCCTGTGGGGCAACGAAACCTATGAGATATGTGCCAAAATGAGGCATCGCCGCCATGCGGGCTGCGCCACTGGGACCTCAGGTGAATTTCCCTGTGGGGCCACGAAACGTGTGAGGGGTGTGCCAAAATGGGGCGAGGCCGCCATGCGGGCTGTGCCACTGGGACTTTAGGTGGAGCCCCTTTTTGGGGCAACTAATAAACATGTGATGGGTGAGCCAAAATGAGGCGAGGCCGCCATGCGGGCTGCGCCACTGGCACCTCTGCTGGAGCCCCTTTTTATGGGGCCACGCCACTGGGACCTTAGGTGGAGCCCCCTTTATGGGGCCACGAAACGTATGAGGGTGTCTCAGAATGAACCGAGGCCGCAATGCGGGCTGCGCCACTGGGACCTCTGGCGGAGCCCCCATCTGGAGCCACGAAACGTGTGAGGGGTGTGCCAAAATGGGGCGAGGGCTGCGCCAGTGGGACCTCCGGTGAAGCTCCCTTTGGGGCCACGAAACGTGTGAGGGGTGTGGCAAAAGTGGGCGAGGCCGCCATGCGGGCTGCACCACTGTGACGTTAGTTGGAGTTCCCTCTGCGGCCACGAAACGTGTGAGGGGTGTGCCGAAATGGGGCGGCGCCGCCGTGCGGGCGGCGCCACTGGGACCTTAGGTGGAGCTCCCTATGGGGGCCACGAAACGGTGTACTGGGGGTGCCGAAACAGACACATGCGGAGAGCAAAGGCAAGGAGGGGGAGGAGGGAGGGGAGGGAGGAGGAAGGAAGGAGGAGGAGAACGCAGGGCGGTGTCTCTTCAAAACGAAGAGACCAAACACCACAGGATGGTTGGGAACAATACAAACCATACTCAGCCTCCAAATTCGGAGCATGCGCAGCCAACCCGATGCGCCCCCCCCACCCCACCATCCCTGTAACAAAAACCATACAGAGTACACTTGGCGGCGTCGGCGGCTGCGGCCGGCGGCTGCGGCGGCGGCAGCGGCTGCGGCGGCTGCGGCGGTGGCGGCGGCGGTGGCGGCGGCGGCGGGGGCGGCGGCGGCGGCGGCGGTGGCGGCGGCGCGGCGGCAGCGGTGGCGGCAGCGGCTGCGGCGGCAGCGGCTGCGGCGGCGGCGGCGGCGGATTCGGCAGCGGGGGCGGCGGCGGCGGCGGCGGAGGAGCGGCGGGCGGCGCAGGGGCGGCGGCGGCGGGCAGCGGCGGGCGGCGGCGGCGCGGCGGCGGCGGCGGGCGGCGGGGGCGGCGGCGGAGGCGGCGGCGGCGGATGCGCCCCCAGTTGCTGCCCATCCAAAGACGATTGCTGCATATGCTGAGGCTCGGGCCAGGCTCGGGTGCTACGCATGTGTTGGGAGGGCGGGTGGGAGTGCGTTTGCGGGCGGGGAAGGAGTCTTGCCCCCTCCCCCTACCCCCTCCCCTGGACCTGGACGGGGGGGGCCGCGAGGAGTTAGAGCGCCCAAGATGGCCCAACATGGCTCCAAGAGGGCCTCAGAGAGCCCAAGATGGCCTCCAAGATCGCTCAAGATAGCCCAACATGGCTCAAGATAGCTAACAACACGCCTCAAAGAGGCCCCAAGAAGGCCACAAGACGGATCCAAGTGCTTTTGGAACCCACTCAGGATTTTTCTGAGAAGCCACAATTTCTCAAAAACCTACGGAAAGCCAATGATGTTGGCCTTCTCGCCATTTCGCTTCCGATGCGTTTCAAGGCCTCAAGATGGCACCAAGATGGCCCAAGAGAGCTCCAAGAAGGGCCCAATAGGCCCCCAAGACGGCCCCAAGAGTGCCCAAAATCGCCCCAAGAGGACCCCAAGAGCGCCCCAAGAGGCTATTTCGATGGCTCCGGAGGGGCGACGAAAATCTAGGACCACCCCTCCTCTGATCGATGGTCTCCAAGATGGCTCCAGGACGCGCTCCATAGCTCCCAAGAGGGCCAAGGCGCCCCAAAAAGGCCTCAAGAGGACCCCAAGACCCACCAAGGAACCCCAAGATGCCCCAAAAGAGCCCCCAGAGGACCCGAACCCCCCCCCAAGCCCCGTAGCTCCAAGAAGGCCTCCGATGCTCACAGATAGCCTCCAACATGGCTCAACACGTTCCTCCCCCTCCTCTCTTTGACCGCTCTATTTCACTATCTGCGTCTCTACTTTCCATTTCCCGTCAGACCTCCTGGGCAGGGCTTCTGAGTGGGCCCGCGGGGATTCGCGAAGCGTAAACAATGACGCTATTCGACGCTAAACATGAAATTCTGAGGGTATACCAGGCTCCCTTGATTTGCTACCGAACGTGATGCTGGAGGTAATGGTGCCTGATCAACGAGAGGAACTTGCTGCCCCTCCGGCTGCACCGCGCGCACTCATCTGCCCTGCAGAGGACGAGCCTCTCGCCGCCGCGCGCGATGATGGCGTCCCAGATGCTGATGTAGGCCGTGGGCACACTCTTCAAGTCATACCCCGCATTTTGCGCCATCATCTCGATCTTGGTGAATCCCGCTTCCATCAGCATGTCGCGCGCCGCCGGGAACGTCGGCTGGAGCCCAATCTTCGCGGCGCCAGTTCCCCACAGCGAGGGCAGGGCGCTGGCGTTGAAGGGCATGTCGGAGACCAGCACGAGGCGCTTGCCCGACTCGTTGTGCTGGGCTTCGATGTGAGACAAAAGCTCCTGCGCGCAGAACGTGTAGTTGACGTCGATCGCCTCCGACCGCCAGTGGTACACGACGTAGTTCCCCTCGCGGCCGTCGGCAGAGGGGCGCAGCCCGCTCGCGGCGAGGATGCGAGCGGCCTCCGCCTCCCGGGCCGCGGAGAACTTGAACTGCGGCCAGTCGTCCGCGCCACCTGGGACCTTCCCGGATTGGTTGCGGGTCGTGGAGCTGAGGTCGTTGCCGCGGGACGAGTTGAGCTGGTCAGCACGCAAGCGGATGTGCCCTGCCACCACCTGGGCGACCCCAACGGAGCGATTCGAGGACACGGCATGCGTCCAATCCTCGACTGTGGTAGGGCCGGGCATCATGCCCTTCGCGCAGCCGGCAAAACTGGGGGCGCACATGGCGAACTCGACGTCTGGATTGGAGTCGAGACCCGCGTCGAAGGGTGTCAAACCCCAGCCTGAGAGGTCGAACAAATCCGTCAACCCTGTTGTGCTGCTGTCACTGCAGCTATGGATCCTTCCACTACTGAGGCTCACGCATGGGACGGTGACCGTGTGGTTCGTGGCGTCCGCCAGATACTGCAGCTCGCGAATTGCTCTAGGCCAACTGGACATGCCCTCAGCTAGGCTTTCCACGACGACGCGCTTCTGCGCCACTGCCGGTACCGCGAACACTGGCCGCAGCATCAAAGGTGCGAGCACCGCGGCGCCAGAGATCCCCAGCAGCGCAAGGGACAGGCGAACCACCACTGGTACAACGAAAGCCCGTCCTCCATGATTCACTCCCGCCTCTGGGTTTTCAACATCGCTCCCATGACTATCCAAGCTGAGCCACCCAGGACTGAAGTCCGCGAGCACGTCAGACTTCACGTGCGGGAGAATGGCACTCATCTACGGGCGCGCGCAATGCCACTGTCAACCCTGCGACCAATTCTCGAAGCAGCGAGGTTGACGAAAATGGCCCGTGAACCAAAGTGGTTACGGATGGATGGTCCGTGCGTTTTGAAAGGTTTGGGTGTTCTCGCCTTCTTCCGGATTTTCGAAGTGAGAAAATAAGGGGACAGGGTTTGGCCATGAGGAAACTCGCCGGCACAACGGGCCAGAGGCGTGCTCAGAACTCCAGTAAAAGGTTAACATTACAACAAATTCGCCCGCGCGAGGCTGCTCCTGGGGACCCCGAGGCGACAAAAACCCCACCAAGGTGCCGGCAACGACCCATCAGAGATGCCAGAGGCCCCCCAAACGCCCCAAAGGGCGCCCAATACGGCCTCAAGAAAGCGCCCACACGGTCCAAGATCCCCTGGAGTCCTCGAAAGACCGGCCGACGATGCCACAAGATCGTTCAAAGACGTCCACCATGGCCTCCACACGCCCCCAAAGGCCTCCAAAAGCACCCCCAAGAGGGCCCCGAGAGGCAACATTCATTGATTTCCCCACAAAATGTTGGACACATTATGGGTTTATCGTTCGGTTTCCCGACGCCCCAAGATGGCCACGGGGGCCCCAAGAGGCACCCAAAAAAAACCCAAGAGGCCCCCAAGCGGCCCCAACACGGCCCCCAAGAGGCCTCAAAGCTGCCTCCCACAAGGCCCCTGAGAGGCCAACCACGAGAGCCCAACCAGCATCCGTGAGGCCTCTGACCCCCCGCCCACCGTCCCCCGAAAAGGGCAGCCGCCCAACCGCGCCGCATTGACAACAACACCTTGACAAACGACAACGGCGAGGCAAGATGGGCCAGCAGAACGAGCGAAGCGATTAAATAAGCTGAGAAGTCTACACTTAGGATAACGTCGGCGACGCACCGAGGCATCCCACATCTTGTCCTTCGATGGCAAGCAAGACGAGAAGCAAGAGAGAGCCACGGGATGGAGAGGTTGATCATGGATAGACGTAAGGTTCGTCTGATGAAATACCTCCCATCCGAGGCGCGCGGAGTGGCGCGCACCTAGCAAGTAGGGCAGCGCTGCCTTGAACCAAGACAGCACCATATATAGCGCTCGCTAAAAAAAACCCTCCTAACCTCGTTTAAAGGCGGGGGGAGGGGCCGAACGCTATATCCAGGTCATGACGAACTAAGTGAACTAAAAGAAATATGAGCATATTGTTTTTCAACATCCCCAAGAACAAGCAGTACCAAGGCATGGAAAAAGCAGCGCGCAGCATTAGGACCGACCACGGCGCATTGCCGCGACCAACCGCAGACGATGGTTGGCAGTCACGGTCAAGACCGCGCGACTGCCCACAGACAATTCGGATGCGGCCAACCACTGGGCCTGACGTCAAAGCGTGCAACGCGCGAGTGGGCATGGCCAAGCGGTCAGATCCCTTCAAAAAAACAGAGGATGAAGAGCGCCCGTGTCCGGGCGCTCATGGTGGCTGCGGAGCTATGGGTATATATGGTCCAGGGCTTGGGCCCCCCCCCCAATGCTGATGCCATTAGGCCCCCCCCCCCCGCGCGATGGTCCCCCCCGCCCCCCCCTGTGGGCGTGACGTGGTGCTGCGCTGCGGTGCCCCCCCCCCCTGTGGATGTGGTGTGGTGCTGTGGTGGTTCAGAAGTGGGCGTGGCGTGGTGCTGCGCTGCGGTGCCCCCCTCCCCCCGTGGATGTGGTGTGGTGCTGTGGTGGTTCAGAGGTCGTCGTCGTCGTCGTCGTCGTCGTCCTCGTCGTCCTCGTCGTCCTCGTCGTCGTCGTCGTCGCCGTCATCGTCGTCGTCGTCATCGTCGTCGTCGCCGTCGTCATCGTCGTCATCGTCGTCGTCGTCGCCGCCGCCGCCGGCGTCGTCGCCGCCGCAGCCGTCGTCGTCGTCGTCGTGGTCGTCGTCGTGGTCGCCGTCGTCGTTGTCGCCGCCGCCGCCGCCGTCGTCGTCGTCGCCGTCGTCGTCGTCGTCGTCGTCTCTGGGACCATACCATCTGGGGGGGGGGGGGCCGAAGAATCCTGGGACCATACCATCTGGGGGAGGGGGGCCCGTGAACCCTCGACCCTGGATCATATATGCCCGTGGCTGGGCGAGGGTAACTACTTGTAGGTATGCATGCCCGTGTCCGGGCAAGGATAATATTTGTCTGTGTTTGGGTCGTCGCCCTCATTGGCATCCGCTGGCCCTGACTAAGGCCCCCAATTCTGACGACGTGTCATTCTTGCCTCGATAGAGCATGAACCTCTTTACTTCACACTTGAAGGACTGATTGCCATCCATTATTTGCAGCGGTAGCGCACGATCGAAACGCCCCCTGGCATGGCCGTCAGCAGCCATGTCCCGCGCATCACACCACTGCGCGCTATGAACTACACCTCGGCCCATGATTCGTCTTATCTAGCTGATGCGTCCCAGCAAGGCGAATCCGGTCGGTCTCTGGCAGTCCATACTTGACGACGGTTAAACGACCGACTCAGCGTCTTTGGTCAGGATAACCTTAACGCTGAGACCACCTAACTCCAGATTACTCTTAGTTGAGCGGGCGCAGTGGGGTCCAGCTTTACGCCCGCGCAGCGCAACTAAGTCAGGGTAGCAGCCATCAAGATCATGAGCGGCTGCCAGTTTTCAGCTGAAGCTTCGCAGCTGGGGTGATGCCGGGGCCCCTCTCGGGGGCTGCGGCGTCGGCTGGCCGCGCTGGGAGCCTTCGAGGGAGGCGCGAAGCGAGAACTCTCCCCGCCGAACGGCGGGTCGACGAGGCAAGTATCCAGCACAGCCCGGTGTCGGGGGGTGGGAATGCAACTCGAAGAGTCGCAACTCCTTCGTCGCCGGGGCCTGGGATCGCGGCGCCGGCAGTGGGCCCAGCTACCGGATTCGCTGCCGAAGGCAACAGACATGCAGGGCGTCATCCAGGGAGTGGAAAACGCCACGGTCATAGATGCGCGGAGGGACGATCAGTTGAACGACGAGCTGATCGGAGAGAGAGGAGGGCGAGGAGGGGGGAGCGAGCGCAGTGCCGGAGAGCGGTGAAGACCGCCGCCCGACGGGAGCATCGCAGATTGCGGAGTCTTCAGATCGAGCGTGAGGTTCGTGAAGTTCTCGCGGGCGCGATGCTGACGAGGATCTGCGAGTCAGGAACGTCACGATCGCGACGTGGAACGTGTGCCGGCTGCCGGTTGGCAAGGATGCTCAGGAGAGGTTCTTCGAGGTGATCGCCTTCGCGGAGAGCCAGAAGCGGGGTGTGGTTTGTTTGGCTGATGTTCGTGGTGGTGAACCGGGAGTGTGGGAGTTTGGGGAGGGGGCGGATCGCGAGGTGCTCATTTCGACAGCGAGGGCAGCCATCTTGATGAACGACTCGTGGGCCAGCGAGTGGGAGAGCAACGGCAGCAAATACCAGGCGAGCCAGCGGGTGCTCTGGGCCGACTTCCCCAGCTTGCGCCTCGTTGCTGTCTACCACCCCTTGTGGAAGGATCGCCGGGCGCTCCGCGACGGGGTTCGCCGGGAGCTTGAGGATGCAGTTCGGGGCTGTCCGCCCGAGTCGTGGTTCCTCGTCGGTGGTGATTGGAACTCCCAGATGGGCTTATCCGAGGAGCCTTCGTCCTGCTTGGGGCGGTATGCCACGAACGTGCAGAATCAGGCAGGGGCTGATCTGGAGCATTGGGCTGCTGGAATGGGTTTCGCTTTTGTTGATTATCATTTCTCTATGCGCCACAGGGGCACGTGGAGGCATGGCAAGGACCGCACATGGCATGAGATAGATGGCTTTTTCACGAAGGCCATCCGATCTGTCCATGTGGATTGCTCGGCGCGCATTGGGGACCACTTGCCGAAGGTTCTGCGCGTTCACCGTGTGTTCGGCCATGCCGGCGCGGAACGTCCTAGGGCTCGCCCTCGGCCAGACCCCCGCATTGCATTTGAGAGGCTGCGGGAACCAGATCTTGCCGCACGCTATGTGGAGGCGACCAACACTGCGGCGGTCAATCTGGGGAGCAACCCGACGTGGGAGTCTCTGGCTGGCCAGCTGCAGGAGACGGCTCGCAATGTTCTTGGCGAGACTCGTCAGTTCGCAGCTCTGTCGTGGATGGTTGGCCATCGCGCCGAGGCGTCCCGGCATAGGGACACGATCGGCGAGTGGACAACGCGGAGGAGACAAGCAGCTAACGATTCAGAGCTGCAGTCAGCATTGCCGGGGCTCCGCCGTGCCCGTGCAGCCTTCAGGCGGGACAAGCGACAGTGGCAGCGAGCATGGCACGACCAGCTTGCAGACGAGGCAGCTGCTGCCGAGGCCATGGGCGACGAGAGAGCCGTCAGCGAGGGCCTCAAGCGCGCTGCTGCAACGGGCCGGCGGCAACCCCCGCCCGTGACGGTCGAGCAGCTGACGTCCGTTGCGGCCACGGTCGGGCAGGACAGGTACGAGCGCACAGAGGTGGAGATCCAAGACGCCATCTGACGCCTCGGGGACCGCCGGGGACATCCTCGATTTCAGGCCGCTGCCGACCGTCTGAGGGCAGGCCCCTGGAAGACGCCGAGATTTCGAGTGCTCTCAAGAGAATCAAGGGTAAGACGCCAGGAGACGGCCAGATCCGCATCTCATTCATCCGCAAAGCAGGGGATCGCATGCAGAAGGCGGCGTTCGACTTGGTGAGGCGCTTTTGGGATGATCCCGAGGGGGACTGGGAAGAACTTGTGTGGGTCGGGGTCATGGTGCCTCTCTTCAAGGAAGGGTCCCAGAAAATCGGATGGTGTGTGTACTTTCGATGATCACCCGGATTGTCGCCCGAGTGCTCGCCACGCGGCTCCGTTGTTGGATTGAGGAGACCCGAAGGTTGGGGGAATGGCAGCAGGGCTTCCGGGAAGAGCGGAGCACCCAGGACGCCGCCTGCATCGTCCTTCGCATGTGTGAGGAAGTGGAAGAGATGATGGCAGAGCGCTCCGCCGCCCTACGCCGCTCGACGTCTCATCCTGGACCCGGGTGGGAGCCGACGGACCCCGGCGTGACCCTTCTTGACCTTCGCAAGGCATATCCCCGAACGAATCGCCCGCTGCAGTGGGAAAATCTCAGGCGGAAGGCTGTTCCAGAGCATGTGCTGTCCATCATCCGTGCCCTTCATGAGCGTTTCTTCTACCGGGTGCGGGTGGGGCGGCAGAGCGGGCCGGCTTTCCACCCTCAGAGATAGGGAGCCCACAAAGGACGTACGCGCCCAGCTATGCACATGAACACGGCCCCTCGATCCGCGAGACCTGCCGCGTTATGCGAACATTTGCGCTATGCGTACTCTCGAAACCAGCGTGGATTCATGTACGTGTACGTCCTTTTGTCGCTCCTGAAGAGAGGCCTGCGGGAAGGATGTGCGAGCAGCCCTGTCCTCTTCAATGTCTTCCATGCGGAGTCGACGACGACGGCCCGGGAGCTGCGCTACGGGTCGGCGCAGGCCTCCGACACCCCCGTCGGCGCCCCCTGGGCGTGGCGCCCGGGCGCTCTCAAGCCGAACCACCGGGGCAGTCGGAGGCGGCTGACTGGCCTTCAGCCCCCTGCGGTTCGAGCACATCTTGTTTGCAGGCGACACAACCCTCATGCACGAAAGGCGGGAGGCAGCTGAGGCCGAGCGCACTGTGGTGCAAGGCTTGTTGCGATCTGAAGAAAAGATCAACTCGGGCAAGTCGGAACGTGCTTGGTTTACGCCAGATGACCCAGTCACGCGTATGTTGTGAGTGTAGACTTCTCGGCACGTCGACAAGAAGAAGCGAATCTCTCGCTTTTGTAAGGATTGGAATGGACTTCGGAACAGAATTTCGAAAGCCAAGCTGTCGCCCAGGCGTATGGCCTATTACATTCAATCTGTGGTTGCAGCTTCAATTCTGCATGGTGCTGAGTGCCGGGTTTGGAACGAGGGAGAACCGCAGCGGCTCCAACGGCTCTTCGATTTCTGCTGGCGATACGCGTGGGGAACGGTGTACAGGGGAAGAGAGGGCCTCCGGTGGCGCATGGCTAAACACAACATCAACATGGCCGGCGTCCGGGCGGAGCTCGGCGTGAGAACTGTGAAGTCGCTCGCGGAGGAACGAGTCCTGCGCTGGATCGGGCATGTGTGGAGGATGCCGAATTGCCGCCCAGTGGCGGCCGCCGAGCTTGGCTGGTGGCACCGCGAGGATGAGCTGCATGGTCTGCGCGGAGCACAACCGACCAAACCGAGATACTTGCGTTTACTTCTTCGCAGGGCTGGCATCGACCCCGATTTTCTGGACCTCAAGGCTAAGGACGGGGAGCTGTGGCGCACTGTCGTCCGGACGCACTGTGCCGGGATGGATGCCGCTGACGAGAGAGCCGCTACTTGGAGTCGTCATGGACGCGTCCTGCGGCGACCGGCAGGTTCGGAGCCACACGGCGTCCTACGCCGACCCGCCGCCGCTGCTGCTGGTGCTGCTGCCCGTCCCCCCCGCCCCTCCTCCTCCTGCCCCTCCCCCTGTCCCTCCGCCCCCTCCTCCCCCCCCTCCGGCGGCGGCGGGTCTGCCGGGCGGTGGCGCGACATTTCGATGCGAGTATTGTGCTGCGGACGGCATCGAAAATATCTTCCCGAGTAAATTGTCGCTGTTCCGTCATGTCGATTTGCTTCACAAGCGCACAGCCACGGTGCCATGCCCGAAGGGATGTGGGAAGTTCTTCGGGATGGCCACCAACCACGCCCGTACGTGTGCTGGAGATGAGGCGGCCACTGCGGCGGCGAGGAGAGCCAAACGGGCGGCCGACAAGCGTGCCCGTGTCGCGGCCAAGGCTAAGGCACGACCCAGAGCCAAAGCCAAGGCCCGGCCAGCGGTCCGGCGCCAGCCTGCGGCCTGCCGCCGGCCAGCGGCTGCATCCGCACCAAGTTGACGTTCCGCACTGTGTTGGCGCGCGGGGCCGGGGGCCTCCGGGCCTGACTCCGTGCGCCGCGCCACGCCTCTGGGCCGGCTCGGCTGCCTCGGCGGAGGGCGGGCCACTCGGTGCCTGGCGCCGGGTCCGCGTGGCGGGGGGGGCGTCGGCTGCCTCTGGCTGCCGCGGCGGCGGGGCGGCCGCCGAGCTTCGCGACCGCCTCTATCAACGACGACGATTGGATGCAACTGTGCTCTGTGAGAATGGTATGTTCTGTACTGCGCATGGCAAACATTACTCCCACTCGAGGGCACGGCGCGGCCCGCACACGAGGGTTTGTTTGTTTTGCAGCTGAGTAGCTGGAACGCACCTGCAAGCAATGCGACTGGCAGCGAGCATATATCGATTGCATTGCTGCTTTGCCACGCGGCGCGCGCCAGCGCAGTGACAGACTGGCCCTCGGACGCCATGCCCCTGTATCTCGTCGCCTTCGCCCAGAATAAGGCGACGAAATCTGGGGTCATTGCGAAGGTCCACTTCTCCTACCGGAGTCGTGAGCTGATCTACGGACATTGCTGAAATTTGCTCGCGACGGCACTGGGTCTCCGCGCGCGAAGGTTTGTGGGCCCCGCGCGCGTTGCAAGGGCACTACGCGCACCGTTAACTACGCCTGAAAGATTACGCATGCACCAAATCACCGCGTAAACAGATGAACATGTCGGACACTGTCTTCGCTGCCTACTATTCCGCTACAACTCCCGTGAGTTCTGGGGGCTGTATCGGGCGAACCTGCATCTCATCCATCCGGATCTAGCTGGGCGCGGCCGCCCTTGGTCAGCGCAGCGCGCGTCGCAATTGTTTCAACAGTGTTTGTTCAGTTTGCATGCGCGGAACGTACCCTCTACACATTAGACGCACATGTCAATATCGTCCTTAACTCCTGCCATGTTATGGCGTCGACGTGCTCGGCTGTTCAGAAGAGTGGGCCCGTCTCGAATTCTTCATCGCATGGCGTCAGTTTAAACCCGAATTCTCGCGTGATGGTTCTGAGATTCAGTGAGAGTGCCCTTGCGGCGTCTTTGGTGCTGGTGCCTGGCTCAAGGCACTCCATGCAGTGCTTTGACCTGTCGCACGGCGAAAGAAGGGCAAGGACAAAGCAGACCATGCGCTCTTTCTCTCCAGCGGCATCTGCCAACTCACGATAGGTCAGGCCTTTCGAGAAAGCCATATCCATGGACGATGTGATCACTTGTTTCTTGCACGCGGCCGCGCTGGCAATCGGTCTCTGGCTTGCTGGACGAGCTGCGCCTGGGATGGTTTCGAAGACGAACGCTTCGATGTCCATGGAGCCACGAAGAACATGGAGCATGGTTCGTTCCACGTGTACACGAATCTAGAGGGTCATGATGCTGGCAGCATTCTTGATGTCCTGCATCCTGAAGCACTTGCTATCATGCCAAATTTTGTGTTCAGTGCACAGAGCCATGGGCCCAGGATATAGTCTGATCGGTTTGGCTCGCATTCTGCCTTCGCCAGGAGGTCGTCTCCCATTGCGACCGCAGCTCTGTTGGCCGCTCCTGAGACATACGCGCACATTGTGATTACTTAGTCGCTGCGCAGCGACTCGCTGCGCTGCTCTGACAAAACAACCTCCGCCATGTCAACGAAGAAACACAGCTCAACATACTGACCGTGGATGTCCGAGTCGAGATCACAAGTCTCGTCGTAATCTGTTGCCCAAAGTACCAGAAAGGCTTCATCGGTGCCATGGTCCCGAGCATCACCCATTTCTCGCAAGTGTCCTTGCCTCTCACTGGCCGCGCCCACGAGCGCGCGGCTGTTTGCGACCATCTCGGCGGGCACAGGAACACGGGGGGGCTCCCATGAGAGCGTCTGGGGCAGCTCCCTGTCTCCCTGGAGCTCGACACACCACGTTTTCAACGTGTGTGCTTCCAGATCCACTTCCGGTCCCTCAGCAATGGTCGGTGGCCTGCCGTCGTGCGAGGCCGGCGTCGGAGTTCGCCCCTCATCTGGCGCGCGGACGCCCGACGCCGGCGCGTCCGCCAGGTCCCCAGACTGCGAGAGGTTCTCGTCGAAGCCTGCTAAATGGTTTTGGGGGCGCCAATCGCTGGGTGATTCGTGCACGCGCGGTTCCAATGATGTCATCAATGTCGAGGGCGGTACTTCGGGTTCGTAGTAGCGAAACCCGCGCGACACCGTTGTCAGAAAATACCAGGGCACAGCTATCAGCATTTTTTGATGCCTGTAACCTGCGGCTGTTGGCCAATCGCACCGCCGCAATATCTCCTATACTACAGCAGTTTACGATGAGGAACCGCAAAGCCACATGTACTTTGGGCGAGAGACGACTCGCCGTTGCGCGCATAGGGGCACGACAGATGGGGCCGATCCTATACCGGCGTCCGCAGGCAAAGGCAAAAGGAGGAAGAGGTCAGCTACTCCTTTTCCCGGGCGCTGCACGGAGGTCAGCGCAGAATAATGTTTATGCCGATACCTGACCCGATGCGCGAGCAGTATATGACGATACAATGGGGACATGAACGGACTTCACACGC